GGATTGTGGCATGGCCATCTCCCCTGGGAGGTGATTTCTTGCTTTCTGTCTCTCTCTTTCTCTCTGTCTCTCCAGTGAGTGCACGTGCCCTATAGCAAAAATCACTCTCTCTCTCTCTATATATATACACACACACACACACACACATACATATATATTTCTCACACTTTAAATATTTGAATCTTACAGAAAATATGTGCAATTATTGGGACCAATATTGTTTTATAACAGTTTGTTGGGAAGAATCACAAAACCAAGAGAGGCTTGTCTCATCCAAGGTCACCTCTTTAATAAGTAAGGAATCACTGCTCTCAATTTAAGGCTAAGACTGCAAATATTGTGCTCTCTCCAGAAACCTGACTCAGACCAAAGGGAATGCTGAGAAGAGAAGTCAAAGCACAGAAAACAGAAAGGCTTTTATTATTTAAATGCTGTCATTGTAAGAAGCAACTGTCCTTTAGGAAAGGAAAAGGAGAGTGTGATTTTCCAGAGGCCATGTGAATGTTGTAAGATTGTTAGAACTCTTTATTACAAACCTATCACAAATCCATCAAAGAAGATGTTCTCTATTTAAAAAAAAATATGAATGCATTGCTTAGTTTCAAAACTCTTCCACTTCTTGGAGCTGGACAGTGGTGCAGCAGTAAAACACAAAGCTCCATGAGGTTGATCCACATTGGAAGGTTCCTGGGTCTCCCTGACAGTGCTGAGCCCATGCTGCCCATGATCCAGGGTTGGCTGAGGCTGAGGGAGGATGGTAGTGTCAAGACCTCATTGGAGGTACACTGTCTGTCTCTCTCTTTTTCTGTCTGTATTTCTCAATCATGGAAGCAAATAATGCACTTAAAACAAAAGCTCATCTGCTTGCAAAATGACTCTTATTACATATCCCCAAATTACCAAGAGAGTAGATGTTGTAACTTTCTCCACTTTGCAAAGAAACACAAATCCAAAAAGAAATGACCTGCCTTTGTCATTTTTTTTTACAAACCAGCCAGTGTCTCCTCAGTCTCCTCACTGCTGCCTGCATCTCCTGGTTCCCCTGGGGGGAGATCATGGGGTTGAGCATGGGGGTCATGACCGTGTGGCTGATGGACACGGCCTTGTCCATGGAGAAAGGGGTAAAGGGCCGAGCATAGAGGTAAATGCTTGGAATGAAGATCATGGAGACCACAATGATGTGGGTGGTGCAGGTGGAAGCTGCCTTCCTCCTTGCCTCCTCTGAGTGGGATCTCAGCATTACTAGGATGATGGAGTAGGAGATCAGGAGGAGGAGGAACCAGATGACATCCAGCATCCCACTGTTGGAGATCATGAGGAACTCCAGGAAGGAGGTGTCAGTACAGGCAAGACTCAGCACTTGTGGAACGTCACAGTAGAAGTTGTCCAGGACATTGGGGCCACAGAAAGGCAGTGGCAACATCAGAGCCAGCTGGGTAATGGAATGAATGAAGCCTCCCACCCAGGAAGTCACCACCAGTCCCACACAGAGCTGAGTGTTCATGATGGTGACATAGTGAAGAGGCCGGGAGATGGCTACAAGGCGATCATAGGCCATCACTGAGAGAAGGAAGACCATGGCACCTCCAAGAAAGTGAAAGAAGAAGATCTGGGTCATGCAGCCCTGGTAGGAGATGGTCTTCTTCTCAGAGAGAAAGTCCACCAGCATCTTTGGGGCAGTGACTGAGGAGAAACAGAGGTCTAACAAAGCCAGGTTTCGGAGCAGAAAGAACATGGGTGTGTGGAGCCGGGAGTCAGAGATCACTGTGACTATGATGAGGAGGTTTCCTATGACGGTTGTGGTATAGACAAACAGGAACACCAGAAACAGGGAAATCTGGAGCTCTGGAGTCTGTGAGAGTCCCAAGAAGACAAAATCTGATACCCATGTGAGGTTCCCTGGTTCCATGGTGTCTTCTCTAAAGAAAGCAAACCGCAGATATGCATGAAGTCACTACTTGCCCCTTGATGCTCAGGAGCTCAGGACTGGGTTGTTCAGGTATATATGCTGAGAATCCACTTGTACAGACCAGGATACAGGAAATTGACTAATGGTTTTGTCTCTAAGGAGACTACAAGTGGGTGCATGAATATACATTTACGAAATAGCCTAAAACCATCCAGAAGTATACACAACCTACCTATTGAAGATCAGTTTGAAGGACCAGCAGATGGCATAATGGTTGTGTCACTGGATTCCCACATAGCTGACTGCGGTCCAATCCCAGATCCAGTGGCTTAAAACTCATGCTGGGTGCATGTGTGTGTGTGCCCAAAATCCCAAGAGGAGAATGGAGGAGGAGGGATAGTGGCATTAGTGGCATGGCCCATCACCCCTGAGGAGTGACTCGCTTTCTGTCTTTCTGTCTCTCTGGGACTCTGAAAGTGCACATGCCCTGTAGCAAAACCTTTTTTTCTAAAAAAAGAAAAAAAGGATTAGTTTGATATGAAGACACTAGGAGTCAGTCAAATTTCGAATCTTCCATTTCCTTGAGATCTGATGATGAGTATCATACATAATCGTTTTGAATTTCAATATCCACAACTGTAAGGTGGGAATTGAAATGCTTTCTTGGTTATATTTTCTGAAGGCTAAATAGAATTGCACATTAACGATCATGAAACAGTGCCTGGAATAATACATAGTAATCAGTTTCCTCTGTGAAGACTTCTAGTCCAAAGACATCTCCTCCAATCTTTATGTTGGGGTACCAGTCATTTTTCCCACATTTGACACATGAAGTGTTTCTAGGTTTTTCATGTGTCCGTGCTTTTCTCCCACAATTAAACCATAAGATTCTAGAGTAAGATTCTTTATTTCTCAATTGTTTTGTACCCAGGAGGGTCCATCCTTGTCACAGTCAGTACTTAATAAGGATCCGGGGTTGACTGCCAGGTAGGTGAAAAGTTATAGGTTGTATAAGTTAGTACAGGGGAGCCTGTGAACACGGTTGGATACTTGGATACCCCATGCCCCAACTGGAGTGCCCCATGCTGAGCAAGGCTTCATAGGACATACGTGTGTGCAAGAGGGAGAAGCGATGAAGAGAACTGCTAAATTAAGAGATAGATGATGAATAGTATTTGAAAGGGACTCAGGACTCTTCTGAAAGGGACTCAGAACTTTTCTGAAAGGGACCCAGAACTTCTGAAATTTTAGAAGGTCTTGTTGAATCCAAGGCTAGAAGAGAAAGAAGTTGAAGAAAAAGAAATATAATAGATGAAAAAGTAAAGGAATATTACAAGAAAAGGAAGTGAGGGAATAATACAGGCAAAGTATAGGGAAATGAAAATATTAAGAGGTGAGAAGGAATAGGGTCTGAGGTGGAGAAGGAGATGGAGGGAGAAGAAAGAGGGTGATAGGATGAGGGGTAAGAGATCTCCCCATTACCCCATCCTGTCTCTAGCTTCCCTCATCTCTCTCACCTGGCTGGTTGTAATCTATTATCTAATAGAAGTCATTCTCTTCCAATTTTTCGTTTCTATTTACTTCCACTTCCGTCCACCTTCTACACGGCTACCCATGAGATAATCTTTTTGAACTCTGATTGGATCATGCTCCTCTCTCTCTCTCTCTCTCTCTCTTTTTTTTATTTAGTGATTTCTCACTAGGGCTCTCTAGGAACTTCATAAAATATTTTCAGGATCTAGTCAGGGTAGAAATATTTCTTGTGTGCATGCAACTCCCTCTTGGTACGTCATACATCCCCATTACCCCATCCTGTCTCTAGCTTCCCTCATCTCTCTCACCTGGCTGGTTGTAATCTATTATCTAATAGAAGTCATTCTCTTCCAATTTTTCGTTTCTATTTACTTCCACTTCCGTCCACCTTCTACACGGCTACCCATGAGATAATCTTTTTGAACTCTGATTGGATCATGCTCCTCTCTCTCTCTCTCTTTTTTTTATTTAGTGATTTCTCACTAGGGCTCTCTAGGAACTTCATAAAATATTTTCAGGATCTAGTCAGGGTAGAAATATTTCTTGTGTGCATGCAACTCCCTCTTGGTACGTCATACACAGGTATAAAACATAGCCTCTACACACTTTTCTAGTCATAAGATCCTAGGGACATAGGAATTTTTCACCATTTATTTCTCCCCATCAGTCAGTATCTCTGCTTCTTACAAACCATTGGCTCTTTGATGAATGGTCGCTTTTAAAACATGCCACATAATTCTTTATTCCTGTGTTTGCTTCCTGGAATGCTGTTCATACTCTTCTCTGTACCTAGAAAAAAAAAAAACCCACTCAAATAAACACTTTCTGTGACTCTTTCCACCATATTTCCCCACATAGACAAATTCTTCATTTCTTTGGGTTCTTATACCATGTTAAAATTACCTCTGCTATAGGAGTTTTCATGTATAGCATCGTTCACTTGTTCTAACTTCTCTCCTCTATCCATTTACCTTGTCTTCTCAATATCTTAGTAACCACAGAACCTGGAACAGCAACTCTGACATAGCACACACTCAATAAGTGTTGTCAAAGTGTTAAGTGGGTGATTTGCTACATAGCCTTTACTATGTGGAGAATTTTCGAGTGATTTTAATGATTTAGTTAACCCTTCCCTGTTCCCTTTATCATAAATCTAGTTCTATACTCAGTTGCTCAAATTACTGCTTTTCAGATGCAACCTGATTCAGTGGTCTTCAACAGCACAACCCCCCTGAATGAAGGGAGCCTCTCCTTACACTTTAGTCTTACTATTCTCAAGTCTAAGCTATTTGTTATTCGCCCCAGCTCCGGTGGGTGTTTTCAAAAGCCTTACTGCCACGGGGCCTATGGGCAAGTGAGGAAGTCCTTTCTCTCACCTTCCTTCAGCCCTTCCCTTTTCCCTTCCTTCAGGGAGCGCAGAGATCAGGTCTTACATCTTTCTGAGGGTCCTCTCCAGCTTCACAGCTCCCTGATCCCTGCCTGCACTTCTCATTCACTAGCCATGGGCATGGCCCTGGGGAAGTGAGGGTATCCTCAGGGGAAAATTATTGGACTGGGCTCAAGAAGCAGCAATGGGATGATGTCTTCTGGGGAAAAAAGGAACAATGGGAGTTGTTAAAAAGTTTCTAAGTCTCTCTCAGATACTTAGGTCTGCCTCAGGAGCAAAAAATGCCCAAAGCATTGAAAGTTGTAGAGATTCATGAACTATAGGATTAACAGGTCAAGATAAGAAAGAACAAGCCTCTTAAAAGGAACAGATTTTCTGAGACTTTTTGAAGGACCCACTTCCTAGAACAGTGATTCACAGAATTGAGAATGGTTCTGAATCAACCCAGAGACTTGCTAAAACTTGGAAACCCAAAACAGAAATTCTTATTTAGTAGGTCTTGGGTAGAGCCCATAGATATGCATTTCTTTCCTTCTTTTTTTTTTTTTGGAAACATTTTTGTTATAGGGCGTGTACACTGGCCAGAGAGACAGAAAGCAAGAAATCACCCCCTAGGGGGTGGGATAGACATGCTACAGTCCCTTTTCCTCCAGCCTCCTCTTGGGATTTTGGGCCTGCATGCATACGTGCCCAGCATGAGTTTCAAGCTACCTGGTCTGGAATTGAGCCAGGGTCAGCATGCGGGAGTCCAGTGATGTAACCATTACGCCATCTGCTGGCCCCCAAATATTCATTTCTAGCAAGTTGCAAGGTGATACTGGTGCTGCTTACCTGGCAGCCAAAGTTTGAGAACTACTGACTTCAAGTTTCCCTGTTCTCTGTTGGTCAGGATAAACAAACAGCTCTCTCTTGTATGCAGGATCAAGACAACTGGTTTGATTTTTAAAAAATTTTTATTTCATGCATCTCAATTTGGGAAATACCATAGGTGGGAACATGTTTGAGTACTGTATTGGAAACTGAAAGATTGTAAAGCCTTATTTTGCTCACCAGACCCCAAGGTTAAGTCTTCATCCATATTCAATTCTACAGTGGCATTTACGCAATTCTAGCACTCTGTATAAACTATTACTCATCATAATCCTTCCTTTCTCAAAAGCATTAGTACAGGAAGTATGTATTTTTTTTCATATAGTTCCTCATATGAAGAACTGGTACGAATTGGTATTAACTGGCTTTAGATGCAGAATGTGATATACAAACTGTATGACTTATTATTTTTGGAGAGTTTTTTTTTTTCTATAGAGCGTGTGCTATCGCCAGAAAGACAGAGAGAGACAGAGACAGAAAGCAAGAAACCACCCCCCAGAGGGTATGGCCACACTGCAATCCCTTCTCCTCCATTCTCCCCTTGGGATCCTGGGGGCACACACATGCATACCTGGCGTAAGTTTAAGCTGCCGAGTCCCAGACTCAAATTGTGGTCAACTACATAGGAGTCCAGCAACATAACCATTACGCCACCTGCTGGTCCCAAAACTGTATGATTTCTTACAGCCCTCCAGCCTACATGGTATTTCTAAGCTGACCTGAGTTCTTTCAGTGCAAATATTTATACTTAAGAAAGCAAAGTTCCTCTGGCATTTACAAACCCTATATGAAATTCTGGTTTCTTCTATATAAGAGAAATTTAAGAGACACTAATGCTGCCTGATATTTAGAGGTTCATTTCTTTTAAAAATCCAGCTACCTATTAAAATAGTCTAGGTTGATACTGGAGAAGGAAATAGGTCTTATCAGTCTCGTTGACTATCAGGTGGACAATTAAAAGTTACCTGAATTAACTCCTTATAATTCTAGTTTAGCTCTCCATAGGAAAACGTTTGGTAGTCTATTTTTCTTCTCAAGGCACACGTTTGTCTATAGAATAGCTACAAACCCTTATCTTAACTAAAGATTGGTTCCTCAGATCTTAACCACAAAACTGTTAAGGATATGGAATTGGGGATGATTTTTCTGTTTTAAAATTTTATTACAATGTGGCTTATCGTTTGGAAGATGATACCAATTTCCAAAGTCCAGTCAGTATTTGTTAGGATAAATTAGGAAGTCAGCAAGAGGCATGTACGGGTATATCTCTATGCTGGAGACAGAAAAACAAGACACTTTTTCTGTTCTCAAAGAACCGTCAGTCTGGTGGAGAAGACAGACCTAGAAACACATAAAGGCACTGCTGAGAGAAAACAGTTCTACTAGGGGACTGCCCAAAGTTAAAGGGCTGAGCGATTAGCCCGATCTGGGAGAGAGAAGGCTTCCCAGAGGAGGTGACATTTGAACACAAGGGAAAGTTGGAGTGTGTTAGGCAAACAAAGGAAGGAGAAGTGTGTTTATGGCAGGAAGAATAGAGTTCTAGAGATAAAATGGCCTAGCACACACTTCCAGAAACCCTGAGGGTCTCAACAAGGCTGGCACAACGGAAGGAGGTGAGGGTAGAGAGAAGATAGCCAGCATATTCTGAAGAACTTTGAGGAAGCAGGTTAATAAATTTAGATTTGGGGACCAGCAGATGGCGTAATGGTTATGTTGCTAGACTCCCATGTAGTCGACCATGGTTCAAGTCCTGGACCCAGCAGCTTAAAACTCACGCTGAGTGTGTGTGTGTGTGCCACCCTTAGGGGGTGATTTCTTGCTTTCTGTCTCTCTGTCTTTCTGGCAATCACACATGCCCTATAGCAAAACTCTCTCTTAAAAAATATAAATAAATAAATAAACAAATAAATAAATAAATAAATAAATTTAGATTTTATCCTAAGGACTATGAGAAACCAGTAGAGAACACATGGCAGAAGAATGACCTACAGATGAAGGCCACTCTGGCAACGAGTAGGAGGAGAAATGGAAGAACTGAGAAATTAGACCTGGGAGAGCTGCTCTTTAGTTTATTCATACTCTATCTTGTTTCGGAGAAGACCTAATGAGGAGAGTTAAGGTCCTGTAACTTTGCCTGTGCCCCTGACTCATCCCTAGCTCTTAAAGATGTGAAGAAGGTGATTAGAGAAGAGGAGAATGGGAAAAGGATATGAGTGACAAAAAAGAGAAAGAGAATGAAAATCAGGGGATCAAAGCCAGTGATCCAACTGTGACCCAGTGGCTTAATGATAGCACAAAACCTGCTGAGTCAACCTGCGATACGCTTGGCCTTTCCCTCATGCGTCAAGATGATTTCCACGGCTTCATCATTGTGTATGTCTTCATGCAATCTCATTCAAAAGCTGAAAGTGAGGGAAACTGTGTGGGGGCAGTTTCTTTCTCCACCTGCCTTTCATCATGGTAGAGAAATCTTTTCCAGAAAGATGGATTACATGACACATGCACATTCTTATCTTCTAAGTGTTCTGGGAAAAGAACACCTATGACAGGGTCAAGCAAGGGAGAAGCAATAGCAATGGCTATTGGGGTGGCAGCCATCAGTGTCTGCAATGTTATAAAGCACCAGGCAATGAATAAGACGGGCCAGCAGCAAGAGAATCTTGACCATGATATAGTCTGTTTTATACAGGAAAACTCAAATATGGCTAAGGTAAGGGAGAGAAGGTGGTCAGGTAGGAACTTCCCTATGTCAAAAGGGATTGATTCTTGGGAATGAGCAGTTAGCATAATGGTTACGTTGCTGGACTCCCACGTAGTCGACCACGGTTCGTGTCCCGGACCCAGTGGCTTAAAACTCACGCTGGGCGCGTGTGTGTGCGTGCCCAAGATCCCGAGAGGAGAATGGAGGAGAAGGGATTGCGGCGTGACCATCCCCCCTGGGGGGTGATTTCTTGCTT